GCCAGGGTGTTGCTATGCAGTTGCTAAAGCATTGTGAGTGGCTGCCAGGGTGTTGCTATGCAGTTGCTGAGTTGATATTGGTGGTTGGTTGCCAGGGTGTTGCTGTGCAGTTGCCAAAGTTTTGCTATGTAAGCCTAGTTGCTAAGGCACATTGGGCGGTTACTATGCAGTTGCTAGGTCATTATGAGTGGTTGCCAGAGCATTGCTATACAGTTGCCAGGGCGTTGCTATGCAGTTGCTAAGGCATTTTGGGTGGTTGCTAGGGCATTGGTACGCAGTTGCCAGGTTGTTTATGAGCAGGGCATTGTGTGTGGTTGCCGGTGCATTGCTAGGCACTTGGTGGATCGATATGGGTGGTTTCCAGGGCATTGCTATACAGTTGCTAGGGCATTGTGGGTAGTTGACAAGGTGTTGTTATGCAGTTGTTAGGATGTTGTGGGCAGTTGTGTGTGGTTGCTAAGGCGTTGCTATGCAGTTGCCAGTGCACTGTCAGTGATTGCCACAGCGTTTCTATTATAAAGTTTTTGTAGTAACCGTGTTCATCAGCCCAGCAGTGATTCAGCAGGCATTAATGAACTGATGTTCAACTTAATTAAAACAGCATGAACTTTAGCATGAACAGACAACATTATCATAGATTCTGAATGTGTGCTCAGTGATCCTCTAAATTGACAGTCTGTATGGGGCTGATTTCACTACACGTACAACCTGCCATATCTTCTTAAAAATTGAAAAATCTTCCAAATAGAGTTTCACAGCCTGAAAACATTTTTAAGAGCCACCATTTACTTACACTCATGTTACACTCAAGGCTGCTCTTTTCCATCAAATGAATGAATAAAATGGCCTTGAAGCTAATAAAAGCATCTCATACATTCATATGGCTCATTAAGATGCATGTTGCCAGGTTGAATCCAATAACAAACAAATAGCATCCGACATTAAACCTTGAGCAGCATTTTGTGGTACTTATATGGTGTTTTTTGCTGCTGCTGCTGTTGTCTTTTTTTTCGGTCATTTTTGGAGCCTGTCCTCTTTTGCTTTCATTGCATGGAAAAAGCAGCGTGAACATTCTTTAAAACATCTCCTTTTGTGTTCTGCAAAAGAAAAGAAACTCAAATGGGTTTAGAGCACATGAGGGTTGAATTATCCCTTCAGGAGTGTATGCATAACAAAATAACCACCGAATAAAGTTGAAAGGTTCTGGAAGATCCGTGTTTATGACGGCATGTGTCTGGCGGGCTGCCAGAGACCCTCCTGTGAACTCACACACATCCAGACACAATTAATTCTGCATGAGACTGAAGAAGCGTGTCCTGTGTTCCTGAGAAGCTTGTGTGTTTGCACACAAGGTTACAAGTGTTTGTTTCTGTGATTTTTACTTTTTCTGAAATAAATGCGGTTTTTAAATATGTGCAACAGTAATAGTGATGCTTGAACACCACTAATAAGATGTTTAGTTGCATGTGTGGTTCGGTTTTGCTTAGTTAAACCTCATCTACGTTCCACTGCAGAGAGTCCAGTATGCAGATGGTCAGCAGTATAAACCAATCAATACAGCAGAGCGTTTAAACTCAGAGTAGCAGTGTGTTTGTTAAAGAAACATCACGTCCACATCACTTCATGAGCTGCTGATCCATGGAGATGAAGGACTTAATGGTAAATACAGACTAAGCACTGAGCAAACAGACGCCGTCACACACACACTGAACACAAACACTGAGAAACACGTCTTAAACACGTCTCCGCTCAGGAACGCACCGATACAGAACAAAGAACAATTCACAGTGAAGCTCTGAATTTTAGACACTTTAGGTAAAATCAGACGTTTTTATGTGAAATAAAAACAGGCTACTTTTGAAATCTGGTATCTTTAAATTGGAAAAAATACAACATTTTCCGCTTTCGATATCAGCCAAATCTGAACAGTTTTTATTTTTTATAAAATTCAAAATCCAGGTGATATATCCATATGAAGTCATAGTTCACCCAAAAATCAAAAATTATATTTTACATAAAGAAAATAAAGCCTCTTTTGATTTATGCCATTTTAACGACAACTAAACACATTTAATAAACACAAAATAATGCAAAAGATATATATATATATATAATTAAAAACTTAAATATTTAATAAAAATTTAAATTCTCATTACTGTAAAAAATACAATACAGAAAACCATTCAAAATTTTACATTATTATTATTACTTTGATTATTTTCTATTGATTTTTAAATTAAAATCAATATACTGCAAATGCATCCCAACAAATACTACCACAATGATTTGTTAAATATTTCAAAATGTAAAATACATAGCATGTTTTGCGTACCGCAAATGGGAATTGTATTTAATTGCCATGAAAATCGTGTCAAAATGCTGTAACATCAAAATCTCAATGGTATCTTGCCGCAAAATACAATTTATCATTTCTTTCTTTTCATTTTGTAGTGAAACATGACCTATATTGGACTGAATAGACCATATAGACTCAAAAACTGTTTTCAATGCTCACATAGGCACTGTGTGTGTGAGAGAGAGTGCTGAGTGTCATGGCCATACTGGTGAATAAGAGCCTCTGATATTGAGTTGAGCTGCTTTTTGAACAGACTGGCTCTTAAGGAGGACAAAGAGGCAGACAGCTGCAGGAGAAGAGAGACAGAAACCATTGTCTTTGTTATAACTTCAATTATATGCATAGGCTTAATATTTATATTGCTTTTTATCATGCCAATAAAACTGCTTCTGATTATGTGTTAGTAAAAGAGAGAGGAATTCGTACTGCATCGATCAGTCGCTGAAACACAAAGGCTGACCAGATTGATTTGTGAACTATACATAACACCTGACCCCGAGCCCTGATTTCTCTGATCCATTCACCCTTCGCTCCCTTCACCCCTAAAACACCATCTCATTATCAGACTCCAATAAATCCATCACCATTAATCCTCTTATTTTCACCCTAACCTCTCATCGTGGCCCTCTAAACCCACACATCCATGTAGGCCTGTGATTAAACCCAAAAATCACAAATTGCAGACGATCCCAAAGGAAATGCTGATGGAGAATCCTGGCAGCTGTCTGACTGGCCCGTGATTATGTTGTCACAGCACCGCGGTCAATGTGTCGTACAGGTCTGAAGAGCCTCCACTCGGTCGGTGGAGCTGTGAAGAGGTGCCGGGATGAATAATAAATGCCCGCAGCTGCCGGAGACTTTATGATCTCCAGCAACTTCAGAACAGCTGCCACAGGGAACGAGATCTTAGCCTACACCTCTCGCCGAGAACCGCAGCTGCCCGTCGAGCACACTTACTAATGCTCACCAACACTGATATCTCTCTTTTGCTACAAAGGAGCAGCGAGAGCATTCGTAAGCTGATATTTACAGCACCCTGTTCTTCTGTACAAGCCAACGGCTTCAGGAATCAGCTGATCGGAGCAGGAACTATTTCTGATTTGAAGTAAACTGGCTCATTTGGACATTACAACACAAAGCATGTTTTTAAGTCATATTTTTATGGTGTATCACTGCTTATGACTGTAACTTAAGTAAACATTTACATGCATTCTTCAGTATCTTGATTGCAATGGTGGGATTTTGGCATTTCTTTTATTCTTTTCTGCACTTCTCTTCTGCTCTAGCTTGTGTGCTATTTTTATTACATTTACATTCATGCATTTAGCAGACGCTTTTATCCAAGGTAACTTGCAAAAGAGGAAGTATCTTATGCTGTGATTTTAACTTAAATATTTGCATGCATTCTTTGTGCAGTATCTTGCAATGCAAATATCTTTTGCAATGATTTTCTTTGTTCAATATCTTGTGACTTGCAACGCTAGTGGGATTTCTTATAATAACTTTTACTGCACTGTTCTATCTGTCAACTCTTTTCTGCATTTCACTTCTGCTCTAGCTTGTGCACTAATCAATCTTATGGCATTTATGCATTTAGTAGATGCTTTTATCCAAAACAACCTGCAAATCAATGTCTCATGCTGTGATTTAAACTTGCATGCATTCTTTGTGCAATATCTTTCAACTTGCAATGCAGTGGTGAGATTTTGGCATTTTTTGTTACTTTGACTGTAGCATTATATATTTCAATTTTTTTCCTGCGTATTCGGTTCTTATTTTATTTTATTATAACGGTTCTATTTTATTGCATTTACATGTATGCATTTAGTATAGGTGCTTTTAGCCAAAGAGACTTACAAATGAGGAAGTCTCTTATGATTTTAATTTAAATGAATATTTACATGCATTCTTTGTTCAATATCTTGCAACTTACAATTAAGTATAGTGGGATTTCTTATAATACCTTCTACTGTATTGTTCTATATTTCCATTCTTTTCTGCATTTTACCTCAGCTCTAGTTTGAGTACTAATCAATCTTATTACTTTTATGCATTTAGTAGATGCTTTTTTTCAATTCAACCTGCAAAAACAAAGTATCTTATACTGTGATTTTAACTTAAGTAAACATTTACATGCATTCTATGCATTCTTTGTTTAAAATCTTGCGACTTGCAATGCAAGTTTTTGGCATTTCTTATAACTTTTACTGCATTGTTCTATCTTATGCATACTGTTATGGCTCTTTTAATAAAATGCTTATAATGTTCTATCTAATCTTGAATAAAACCATCTGCTGAATAAATAAAAAATGTTAAACGTAAATATATACGACATCATTCAGGATTTCTTGTGGCTTCTACAGATGTCTAAAGTATTTCCAAAAATCTCCCACAGAGACGATGCACTAACATTCACTACATTGCACATATGTGCAGATGCTCAAACAGAACTAGATTTCCACATTCAGACAATCAAGTCATGCAAGCAGAAATTACATGCTGCCCAAACGATTTGGCTGCGATTACAGACATCTAGACGGTTAAATCGGATTTGAAAGATCCACTAAATCAGACATCCATCCACCAAAACCCCTACTGCTACTTTAATCCGCAACTAATAGTTATGAGAAGGTTTCCTTTTTACCTGGAGTTCTTCAAGTTGTCAGAGCTGAGAGTATGAGTCCACACCGGCTGAACGGATGAAGATCAGCTGAGAACCGAACCGATGTGCGGATGCTCCGGTGCCTCTGGCAGAGAAAGAGCCGATCCGATCCGAGTCTGCTGGAACTTCTGTCACATGAAATTAATTGAACTCCACAAAAGAAGCTGCAATTGCTCTCGAACAGTTTCTGACGGTAAAGCAATGACAAGCACCGGGCACATCCGCGGAGGAACGGACACAGCAGAGACGCGCAGATTGACGCCGGTCTCTCCGCAGCGGCGCCTCCGTCTACTGGAGAGATCAGAAACAAAAGCGTGCTGGAGAAGAAGAGAGAAGCACAGCGCTCCACAAAACCCCCTCCCGATGCTGAGAGAGAGAGAGCGAGAGAGAGAGAGAGGTGCATTCACACTTGAATAGAACTCAATACATCAATACATCATTTATGTTAACAAATCATTTTAGGCTCCAATTTGATTATAAAGTTGCTAAACATGTATTGAGTAAAGCTCTATACAGTGCACTAGGGTACACTGTAAAAAAAAAAATTTAATAAAAAAATTAAAAACAATAAAAGGTTGACCTAACTAAAAAAAATAAGGCAACCATATCGCAGTCAACTAGCAACAGTGAGACAATTTAATAACTTTAGTTCATCTAATGAATAAAAGTCAGTCTATCGGATTTTACAAGATCTGTCAAATCAACCAAAAAAAATTAACATTTAGCAATGCTAATTCTCTTTAATAATCCTCTTTTTTAATTATGTTTATTTTCAAACACCCACAAGTATCTGCCTCTTAAAACTAGAGGAAAACATTTATGCTGTTAAACTAATATATTGGATTTAAATGTTGCAATGAGATGCACATACCTCAGCGCATGATTCTCAAACATGGTGAGGATCAACAAATGTTAAATCAGTAAAAATATGAACTCTGATCCACGTGACAGTTGACTGACAGTGACAACAGCAGCAGCAGCAAAAATTAACCCAGTAAAATATAAAACAATGACAATATTTTAATAATAATTCAAATAAAATGCTGCAATGCATGCTGGGAAAAAATATGAACTCTGATCCACGTGACAGCTGACTGACAGTGACAACAGCAGCAGCAAAAATTAACCCAGTCAAATATAAAACAATGACAATATTTTAATAATAATTCAAATAAAATGCTGCAATGCATGCTGGGAACTTGTGCAATATTGTTCAAAGTAAAATTGTTCAGATGACTCAATTTGAGAAGTTGGGAGAACTTTTGTGAACAAACACTTGAGTATCTAAGTAAGGTAAACAAAACAACTTTATAGCGACAAGTTTAGAGTATTTTTGTTCGGTTCACACAAAAATTTAAACTGACTTCTACTAAAAATTCTGTGTTCAGGCTACTTTTTTTACAGTGTAAAGTTTTAAGTTTTTTTAATCTGGATTTAAGTCAAAACTTGAAATGAATATGACAGAATCACCCAAATATGCCAAATTTCGATGGAATTTCACAACTAAAAAGGTCCATTATCCATTATCAATATTATCGCGATGTAGGCCTATAAAGCACAATTCACTCAGAAGTCACTTACAAAACAAGCAGCTTTCTATTGCTAAACGCGTTGAACGCATTGGATTCGTGTGACTTGAACAGTGAAATCTGCACGGGAAACGTTTTCAGGAAACCGCCACACAACAGGTAGAAAATGCAAAAATTAAATGTACGGCTTAAGTTTTTACTGTGTATTGACAGAACCCAACTTTAAATCATATTTCATAAACAACGTTTTAAGTAAGTTAATGATTACAAAATATTAGACGTTAGACAAAGCGTGTTTGTACCTGAAGAGCGTGAAAATAAGACGCCGAATTAAAGTGGCTTTCGAGTAGGTAACCATAGCAACAGTTCACCGCATTAGCAAAATAAGTATTTTTTCCTTACTCCATTCCATATTTACATGACAAGAATGACTCAAATAAAATATTAGTAGCTATTTATTTAAAAAAAAAGACTAAGATGGTTGACGTCTCACTAACTGTTGCAGGTGGTGCCAAAAGTTGTGTTGCGCATGCGCAAACGAACCTTTACTAATCACACCCCAAATTTGGCCCACTGAAACTACAGTAGGCTATAACTATCCTTTAACAATTTGACCCCCTGAAAGTCGTTGTATAATTTAGATACATTGGGTAGATTCAGGAATAACTCTTACAGCCATGAAGAGAAGTATATCATCCGTGAAAAACATAATGAGGTTAATGGAGTCCATATAGAGTGAGCTGAGCTTATGATCTGAGCGGCATTAATGACAAACTCACTGAACCCTCAGATCCGTGAAGACTTTTACCTAAAGAGAGGAAAAACTGAAATCATTAGACACACCAGCATTTCTCTCAAACATATCATCAGGCTTCTAATATTGTTTGAGAATACTGAATAAGTGCTTATTGATGTTATTTGCACTGACAGAAATGAGGACTTTTGGCTTTGGGTGTTGGTCTGAGACTCAGGAAAGTCTCTGATGCAGTGGAGAGAAATGCTGACTCAAAGCCTGTAACCAATAAACTCTAATCCTGGTAGGTATCCACACACACACACACACACACACACACACACACACACACATTGAAATACAAGTGCATGCTGTGCAGTATATACTAGAAACTGCTTATTATGAAAAATGGCATGTAAAATAGTATGCAGTATGCAGCAATAAAAAATAGCAATGCCACAATCCAGCTACATATTTGTTTAGAGCTGTTTTGGCTCGTAAACGGTGCTTAATCTGCACAGATTTCTCTCCTGATTCAGACCATACCACTTTTCACTGGAGGAAGCGTTATTATGGATTATGCTTTGAAGTTAAAAACATCTTGTTGGATTTGTTTCTAATAAACACACAGCTCTTGTCTTCTCCAGATGTTAACTGATGGACTGGAGTGGTGTGGATTACTTGTGGGTTATTGTGTTTTTATCAGCTGTTTGGACTCTCATTCTGACGGCACCCATTCACTGCAGAGCATTCATTGCTGAGCAAGTGATGCAATGCTACATTTCTCCAAATCTGATGATGAAGCAAAGCAGACAAAATAAAGTTTCTATTCCTTTAAACCCACCATGTACATAAACATTTAGCGAGCTGCGTGGTGATAAAAGGTCATAAACAGCACCCGTTCAGCTCCAGTAGTTCAATGTTGCCACAAAATATATATTCAGAACTAATTCGTCTTCATTTTCAGGTTAGGAATCATGCTGCTAAACCTGATCTGCATTTACTTTCCTACCAGAGGAAACAGTCTCTCACTAAATATGAGTGTTTATTTCAGTTAAAGGCAGTGATTTAGCTGACTGCCGTTTAATCACCAGCTCATGCATTAATTAATCTGTTAATGGAGGCCATTAATCTGTCTCTGGGGCTTTCAGCATCTGTTTATTTGCATGCCCGTCTGGATAAAACCTCGCCTCTTCTGAACAAAAGAGAATAAGAGCAATGCATGTCTGAGAGAGACGGAGGAATAATTTTTACTGCTCCTGCACCATTTACGAGACTTTTATCTTGCATTTAAGCATCAGCTTCGTCTCAGATGTTTCTTCTAGACACACAAATGAGTCCATAATTGTCATCCAGTTGGAGTATAAAGCTAACAAATGAATGTGGAGCAGCTCAGATGATTTGATGAGAAATGTTTGAGTGTCTCTGGCTGTTCTGATCTGAGATTACAGGGCTGTTTTAGTACCAGGAGAACCATCTGAGACATACTGTATAAGCCAGAGCAGATGAAGTAATGCACTGAAGTCTCTTAACATTCACCCTGTAAACATTGCTGCTGGATGCTGAGGCAAGTTCTCCATCACTCCAGACGCAGCAGAAAACGCTCATAAACGTGACAAATGAACCTGACACAGCGCAGCCCTCTGCTTCACATAAAATGAAAAGCAATGTCTTTAAGCACGGCGGCAAAGTTCCGGATAAGTAAAAGCAGCGAGACGCACACGGAGCGCCTGCGGGACACAGATATACAGCATCACACATGAAGATGATCGCGAGTTACTTTCTCCTGTTTATTTGACCGACGGGTTTAATACAGTAACACAGGTTCTAGAAATCTTTTCTCAGATATTACAAATAGAAACACTATAACACATTACTGCAGCCAGTGTAAGTCTGTTTGGCAATTTTAATATGAAGTCAAAGCATTTTACTTCCTTAATGAGTTTTACAGTAAAATAGGTGATGCATTTTACAGTAAAATAGGCTATGCAATAAGGAAAAATGTAAGGTGGGAATTAACTGGATCATGAAAAGCAAACTGGTTCTTTGGCAATTGGTTAACATTACCTAATAGCCTGCAATGTAAACAATCAGTAGGATTTACTTTGAAACAATTTTCACTCAGAAATTGCTAGTAAATTTCACAAATAGTTACAAAGAAATTGCAAGTTACATATTGAATTAAATGTGAAATTTAAGTACACAATCTGAAATGGTATTTTATTGTAAAACATACAATAAAACTTTGAAAAATGTATTTTTGCAGTGTATGGATGATATAAAAAAAGGGATTTTGTAACAACGTCTATTATTATAAAATATAATAATATATACAAAATATTTTAAAAAGTGTTTAATTCAGCTAGTTGCCAAGGCAACATTTCTCAGATTTTATTTAGTTTACCTTGATGTACTAAAATAACTGAAACTGAAATAAAAATTAATAAAAACTATAGACATAAATAAACAAGATCTACTAAAACTGACAAAAACACACAACAAAACTTCTAAAACTTTAACTAAAATTAAAATGGAAAACAGTAAATATAAAAATAAAATCTAATTCAAAATAGTAACATTCATTGAACTTATTTAATTTAAGCTAGTTGCCAAGGCAACATTTCTTATTTTCATTTAGTTTAAGATTAAGTACTAAAACTATTTAATAAAACTAAAATTCAATAAAACTACACAGACATTAAAAAAAAACTAGTATAAATGATAAAAACACAACAAAATCACTAAAACAAACTCAAATTAAAATGGAAAATAGAAAAATTCTAAATATGAATAAAAATTATAATGTATCTCAATGATACTAAAACACTGGAAAGTTTTTTTAAGAGGAAGTGCAAGCTATTATATTTTGATTAATGAGTACAAAGCCATTTTGTCTTTGCAATAATGATGCATCATTGAGAATAACACTATGATTGTGCATTAAGAAGAATTTGATTTCATGTTTATTTACATTAACGTTTATTCTTTTAGCAGATGCTTTTATCCAAAGCCACAAATGAGGAACAAAACAAACAATTTGTCAAAGAGCAAACAATATTCCCACAGCAGTGAGATCAAT